AGTAAAAATTGAAAAACCTATTAGATGGGAATCCCTTCCAACAACTTAAAAGAAATTGCTTAATTTTTATGTATCTATAGAAACTTTTCTAACCCATACATGGAAGAAAAGTTTGGGGTTCACAACAATAGCAAAGCAAAAAGAAAGAAGAAGAGCACAACCCAAAAAACACCCCAAAAACCCTAGGTGATAACTAAGTAAAGGCTCCTTAAAGGATAAGATATCCTAGGTGGTAAATTAAAGAAAAAGAAAAACAAAAAAAAAAGATGAGAGAATGAGAGAATAACAAAGCAAGATGAAAGGAGAAGAAACAAAACCCTAAAAACACCTTGGCATTTTAAAGGAAAAACTAAAAACATTCTCAAGATCTCATAAATTGTGAAACCCGTAGTTTTCGTTAATTGGATAAATTGGACAATTAATTTGGTGAGCTTAGGAAATACAAAGACTAGCCAAAGAACCTTAGTTTCATCCTTGAGAATTCTCAACTAAAGGTTATGGAGGTTGTGGAAAGGATTTAGAATGGAATTAAGCCTTAAAATGGGCAATTTGTATAAGTTTGGACCTAAAAAGTCAACCCTAATGCATAAAAGGTTGAGCCTGTATAGAAAAAATAGAGGAAATACAAGCATTCTGGTCTAAGGTCTACCCTAAACCCTCTATAGTTGACCTTAGAATGCCTAGACAGCTTCAATAGGCATAAAAGCCATAAAACCCAAGACCCATTCTTTTATTTCATTTCTTTTTTGTTCTTCCACCCATTTTTTCTCAAATTTCACACCTTTCAAAACCCACTAAATCCCATCATCAAACTTTGGATTTCAAGTGTTAAAGGTAAGGATTTCCATTCTTAAAACTTAGTTTTTCAGATTTTATTTTCTCTCTAAAAACTAGAAATTTTTCTAGGTTTTCAAGATTTGGCTAGATCCCTTCATTTGAAGCTCACCAAGGAGGAAAGGTAGATAAAATAAGTTGTTTACTTAATAGCTATGATGTTTGGCTGAAAGTTTGGTGAAAATAATTGAAAACAAGTGAAGATTAAATAGGGTTAGAAATGGACATTCAAAATATTCTGAAATGTTTAGGAGTTTTTTAGAATATTGATGATTAAGTATCATTTTATTAGGATTTTGAGAGTTTTGATGATCAAATATCATTTTAGGTGATATTGGAGTACTTTGAGTATGTTAAAGATGCTAAGCTTTTGACGAAAAATGCTAAGAGGAAAAAAGCACGCTTCAAGAGGTGGGTAGATATAGTATTTTTAATTATTTTGATATAATTAAGCATGCCTATTATACAACCTCACATTAAAACATATTTTGACAAACTTTATGATGTGAACAATAGTTTCAAGCTTGTTTTATGAAATCCATATATGGTATGTAAATATGTTAGTACGTATTTAGTTTTGATCATGAGGAACAAGCCTTTTAATTGTTTGATGCCTTAAAAATTGATGTTTGTCTATGGATGATTGCTTGGTTGATGAATTGAAAACTTGGAATGAAAATGATGAGTTTTGCATAGACCCTAGCACCAAGTCAATTTGTCTTTGAGATTGATGAATTTGATTTAGTCTGTACTTCAAACTTCTATTGTGTAGATGATTGAATTCATCTTTTGTTTAGAGATGGGCTTTAAACACTATGGCTTCATTTTGTTTTGAGCCCTTTAATCTTGGATGACAAATGAATTTACTTTTTCATTTGGGAATGAATATTTGGATATTTGGAAATATTGCCCAAAATGTTTTAATGGAGTCTATTTGAGTTATAGACCTGTAGCTAGTGATAGTAGCCATTAGCCATTATGCACAATGATTTGCTTTGGTTGGGCAGTCGACAGAGTCTTACCCCTTTGATTTGCTTTCGTTTGATAGTTGATACAATCTTACCACCTTTGATATACAGTTAATGACTATCATGTGTCCAACCACTTTGATGCTATAGCACACTTTGATTTGGTTGTCCATACTACTTAGTGCTTCATGATCTATTTGAAGTGATATTTGACAAAATGGAATTGGATCTTGGTATTTGTTTTGAACTTTGGATTTGGTATTGACATTATTTCGACTTTGGACTTTGGATTTGGTATTTGTTTAGGCTCCTATCTTTGGATTTGACATTTGTTTCAACCTTAGTGCTTGAGTTTCACATTCATTTGATGTTGGCATTTGGATTTGATATACATCTCAACCTTGATATTTGGATTAGGTAATTGCCCTAACTTTGGTATTTAAACTTGGCTTATTGAATTTACAATGAATTATGTCATTTTAGAAATCCACTCGTTTTCTTCAAGGATTTTTTAAAGATGACAACATTATTTCACTTTCTTTGAAACTAAACCTTTGTTTTCCTTAGCATTATTTGCAAAAGTTTTAAAACCCGATATTTATAAATTATTTTCTTGAAAATACTTTAATGTTTTACACACCATTATTTTTATTTCAAAAGTTTAAAAATGGGTTTTCAAAAAAACCTTATAAAATCCTTTTAAATGAGTTTGTACCGATTGAGATGATGGTATTGAAGTTTTGTTTTGATACATGATCATACTTGGCACATAACTCGCACTTTGGGATGTTTAATTTTGCTCGGGGATTAAATTCCCAAACTCTTTGAATATTTGATATGTTGAGAGGCAAACATTGATATTGTTTGAAATGGATTACTTGCACTATTTTTAAAAAGTATCTTTGACAAAAACTCTCCCGTTTAGCTTGCTCTCCCTCCTCATATATGCTCACAGAGTTATTTATAACTCATACATGTAAAATGCACTTGTTTTGCAAATTAATAGTTGCTTGGCTTGTTATCCTTTAGGAAAAGCCAATACTTTAGTCAGTCTTGGGTAGGTGAACATATGGCATCCAACAGGCGTCTACATTTTTGTTTCTAGTCGTACTTCGCTGGTCTTATTTGGTTTGATTGTTAATGCATGACTGTTATGGATTTGACTATGTTTATGTCTTGTCTTAAATGACATGTATATGAGATATGCAAGAAACGACTATTTTTGTATTTGCCATAGGCTGGCTTATACTTGTTATTTGGATATTTATTGCTTGAGCATTTTAAGCACATAAGCGTGCAGACTAATATGATATAGTCCTATGTGACATAATATGTTCATGCATGTTGGTGTACGATTCTATGGTAATGAATCTCATGAGATAATTCCGAGTATTTGATTTGAATTGTACATTTTGGGCTTGCAGGGGTTAAGAGGATAACTCCAATGGATACCTTTATGTTAGTTATGGACTTGGGTTTGGGTTGTGACATAAATTGTCAAGGACACATGTCAAATTCCAAAGGCCACATATTTAAAAGGAAAAATTGAAAACACCATTGACCATAGTTATCATAATTGTACGATACGCAATGCATATTGTATAATGTGATACAATACGATACATATTTATAGGTGTATCACATTTGATCAAATATCGAAACGTATCATACGATACACAATACATTTCTTATGATACGAGCACATATCGTACGACACAGTCGATATACTTTTTATAAGCTTAAATTTAATTAATTATTAAAAATTTTAATTTTTTATTTTTTTGAGTTGAAACATGAAAAATTATATTTTATGAGTTTCAATTTTTAGATTTAAAAAAAATACTAAAAAATTTGAATTGCCTTTTAATTTTAACATGATAAATGTTTTTAATTTTTAATTAATAAATTAATATGATAAAATGTATATTTTATGTAAAAAGTTATATTATTAAAGAATATGTTGAAAGTTTAAATTCAAAAAATAATTATCTTTTCAATTTACGTTCTACAATCTTTATTTTGTTAAACATATAATATTTTTATTTTTTTATTATATATATAAATATTATTTATAATTAATTTTAAAATTTTTTACTATATCTATCAATACAATATAATACTCGATATTAAAAATAAAAAAAATAAAATTTTAATATACCATACGTTTTTCAATTTAACAACTATATCCTTAATATCTCAAGAAGTAATATAGATACATGTCAACTTTTTACGGGTGTGTGTGTGACTTAAAATTTATACACATTAGATAGGACAAAAAACTTAGTGGAGAGAGTGATTGCCTTTCAGATGTTGGGTGGGTGTGTGTATATATATATATTATAAAATAAAATTATAAAAAAAAAGGTGAAAAGAAATTATTGATTTTGTTAATTTGTCATAGAAGAGAAAAGAAGTGACTTCGTATTACTCTCTCAATTATTGTAAATAATAAATAATAATCGTGGCTGTCATTTTATAGCTTAGGTGGCAGCATCAGCACCGTCAAGTAATCTGGTGACAGCCCAGTGGATGGAGCCAAAGGCTAAAAGCATTGATTGATTGGATTTGAAAAGTTTCAGACATCTATTAAACACTGCCACCTCACCACGCGTTTTTAAGTTCTTTCATGCGAAAGATTTCGATTTTTTTAAGATTAAAAAACATTTCTTTAATAAAAAATATTATTAACATTAGAATATATATAAAATAAGAAAAATCCAACAAAATTTTAAATTTTACCGAAATGCAAAAATAATATCATTATTACTTAATTAATACTTTTAAAAAATTTCAGAGAAGAAAGAGAGAGGAGTGAACGCGTTGGGGTTGTCCTATAATGAGAAAAAAGTAACACTGCAGCCATTTCTTTCTCTTTTCTGCGACACAAAATCAACCCAAGATTCTTCGTCATCTTCTGTTTGCTTCCTTATTCGAATTCACAGCCACCCACAATCTAAAAGAAAAGGTGAGAGAAACATAGCATCTAGGGTATGTTTCTGGGTTCTGAAATCCTTTTGTTTCTGGATTCTAATTATTGAACTGATTTTGGGTAATTAATTACGAAGGGAAATATATATATGTTTCGGTCAAATCTTCGGCTTTGAGAGAATTCGAGTGGGATAGTTCCAGATCCTTCTACCTTGTTAATTTCACTACACCTACCTCATTTTTCTGTGTGTCATAACTCATAAGGTTAGTAGGTGGCTTGGCCCTCTGTAATATAAATAAATTCTGATCCAAGAAAAGCCTTTTCTATGAAAAAATATCTTTTCCTGTTTCCAGACCTCCCCTTTCTGGGATATGTGGTTGTTGTTTAGCAGTTTGGAGATTCTGGGTCCTTTGTTTTTTGGTTTCTCCTTTTTGTAATCTTGTGTTCTTTTGGGAGCTCTTTTCAAGCTCCGCTCTTGCTATCCTTTTTCTCTTGGTAAGGTTTGCAATTTTGTGTTTATTTTTGTAGTGGTTGTTATGAATCTATGACTTCAATTCTTGATGGATTCTAATTTTCTTTCTTCTTTTTTCTTTCTTTTTTTTTTGTTATATAAAATGATCTTAAGGGATTAGGAATCGGATCTAATCACATAGCTGAATGATTTTGGTGGTTGTTTTTCTTCCTGTGTCAATCACATCTTGGAAAAGGTTTTGTTTGAAGGAGAATCCATGTGTAGATCTGCTAAATCTTTCCAAATGAATAATCTTTTTGGGTGGATTGCTCTCCGTTTGGGTTGACTCTATTTGGTTTTCCTGATGCTATTTGCTCTTGCTTGTGACAGATCCCCAAGAAGAGGAAAAGAGAAGAAATTTGTGCTGGGGAAGGAGGAGATAGGCCTAAAAGGGAATGGAGGAAGCAATGGCAGCAAGGTACTGGTGTCACCAATGCTCTCAAATGGTGAATCCCATCATGGAGGTTGAGATTAAATGTCCACGTTGTGAAACTGGGTTCATTGAAGAAATGAGCAGTGGTACAAGAGACAGTGAAGACATAGATTCTGACATTGGATCTGATCGAGCACTCTCTCTGTGGGCACCAATCTTGCTAGGGATGATGGGTAACCCCCGTCGCCGCAGAAGACATAGACGTATTGACTTTGAAGAAGAGGATGATGACATTGATGATGGTGAAGCGCGCCATGGAGGAGATACTGATTTGGACAGAGAACTTGAATCCATCATTAGGAGGAGAAGAAGGAGCTCTGCAACAATTTTACAGTTGCTTCAAGGTATTAGAGATGGAATGGCATCTGAAGCTGATAATTCTGAGAATGATAGGGACAGGGATACCAGCAGGGATAGAGATAGGGAAAGAGAGCGTGTAATTTTGATCAATCCTTTCAATCAGACTATCATTGTCCAGGGTTCTTATGATTCCAACCACGGTGGTACAAACCAAAACTCCAACCATATAGGGTCTTTAGGCGATTATTTCGTTGGGCCTGGTTTAGACTTGCTGTTGCAGCATTTAGCAGAAAATGACCCAAACAGATATGGGACTCCACCGGCTCAAAAAGAGGCAATTGAAGCCATGCCCACTGTGAAGATTAAGGAGAATCTGCAATGTTCTGTGTGTTTGGATGATTTTGAGGCTGGCTCTGAAGCAAAGGAAATGCCATGTAAGCATAAGTTTCATAGTGGGTGTATATTGCCATGGTTGGAGCTTCATAGTTCTTGTCCAGTTTGTAGATTTCAAATGCCTGCTGATGAATCAAAACTTGATACTGAGAGGCCAAGAAATGACACCAACCAAAGAGAAAGTGAAAACAATGTTCATGGTGGCGGCGAAGAGGGTGAAGGAGTTGGGAGGAGTGGGAGTGGAAGGAGGTTCTCATTCCCATGGCCGTTCAATGGTTTGTTCTCATCAGGGTCTCAATCTGGTGGAGGCAATTCATCCTCTGCTTCTTCGGGCTCTCAGTCTCGAAGTGCTTCTCAAGCAGATGAGAATTGAGTATATTTTTATAAGTCGGTTGTATTAGCATCCGGTTCTGTATGTTGCTTAAATATTCTGCCATGCTTATGTAAATAGTTATTTTACACTGAATTTGAATCTTGGGAAAATGAAATTGGGTTTCTCTTGTATTTTCTGTATTCTTGTAGATCCTTTTGCCCCATGGAAGAATTTCTGCTGCTATTTTACCTGCTCCTGATATATGTAATTTTCTTTCTTATTCATTTTAATTGGTCTTTGTCATTCTTTTATTTACCTTGCTTGGCTGACTTGGTTGAAAGGTTCAACCGCGTGGGCGTTGTAAATGTTTGAATGGGAAAATTAAACATTTGATATGGACTAATTCACCGACATCATGGCTTGGAAATTTATATATTATATCAGGGAAAGGGGAAGGGGAACCTCGCACAAGCTCATAAATAAGTTGATAATAACTAACTTATTTCTGGACGATGACTCTTTATTATATCATAAAACGTTGGGCATGGAGCTGCCCAGCATTTTCTTGATGCATCTTTCCTTGACTTCCATCATTCATAAATTATGATGTAAATGGTGGCTTCTACCGATCAAGCAACAACCTACCTAACATTCAAGGTTTACAATTCCATTTACCTTTTCTTTATCCACTTTTAATTTCATCATGAAAAGTAGATATTATCATTTACTTACAAGAGCCCTTCGCTGCATCAATCAAAAAACCCAGCAGAAGAACAGCCTACTCCCGCTGAAAGAGGACTTGCATCAAACTTGAAGCACAAACTGAGAGGAGCAGTAACACTAGTCATTTCATCGGAAACAAAAATGCAGTGCAATGCAAGACTGTACTAACACTCAGTCACACAACCCTGTTCATGTGACATTCTAGAGTCTTAACACTCTGGACACCTTCAAGCCAGTTGATAAATCACTGCAGGAATCAAAATGCGATCACCTCTCAACAAAATCATAGTTACATAGAAAAGTCTAATATTCAGTGTTTAGTACGCAAATCATTAGCACATTTCACTTGTGCTATTAGATCACATTTGTTGCATCAAAAAATAAGACACTAAAAGCTGCTGACATCAGAAGCAGCATTTATCCCTAGTACCGAGGAAACTCCCAAAAAATGACATTCAAAATTGAGGCAAATATCACCAAGGTGAACTCACTTCACAGTCAAGATCTTGATTACAGATGCAGTTCCAATCCGATGCAGAGCAACAACGGAATCCCCATTCTGGCAAAGTCCCTTTGCCTTGGCATGCTGAATAGCAAAATCCAATGCTTCTTCTGTTGTCTCTTCATGAGAAGCTCTGGCAGATCCAGCATATAGAACCGGGATCAAACCGCGAAAGATTAAGCTGTGCCTTGCTGGAGTTTCATCACTGCATGACCAATCAAAAGAATCAGTCTTGATCTCCGGGACAACCACGGACAAAATGGGCATTCCAGGCCTGTATTTAGCCACCAGCTTGGCAGTACTTCCTCCCCTGGTTAAGACCAATATAAGAGCTGCTTTTGCTGAATTGGCTGTTCTAACAGCTGAAGAAGCCAGGCTTTCTAATGGACTCATTGGCACTGGAGAGTGTTCCATAACCCTTTTGAAGACGTCTCCATAATCAAGTGTGCTTTCTGCTTCTACGCAAATTTTGGCCATGGTCCGAACTGCAAGTTCTGGGTAAGCTCCAGCAGCAGTTTCACCACTTAACATCACACAGTCCGTGCCATCAAGAACTGCATTGGCAACATCAGTGGCTTCAGCCCTCGTTGGCCGAGGAGACTTTATCATGGATTCCAACATCTGAGTTGCTGTGACAACAGGTTTTCCTTGGATGTTACACTTGTAAACCATCACTTTCTGTGCCAGAAATATCTTTTCAATTGGAATCTCCATTCCAAGATCACCTCGTGCTACCATAAATGCATCTGAATTTGCAAGGATGTCATCAAAATTTGCCACCCCTTCTTGATTTTCAACCTACCAGATCATTTTCAAGGAAAAGACATCAGGAGAAATCATAATGGCATAATATAATAGTAACCTGTCTACGTGGATATACGCATCAGGCATAATTTTTTCTCTCGATCCAACATTCATTGTTAGTCTCTCTAACCAATTGCCATGTTTGACTTTCACTATTATATAACTTTTCTCATTCAAAACTTCCTGTTAGCAAAATGTTACCACCTATAGATTTCTAATGAAGTCAGGCAAAAGCAAATGATATTATTGGTTATGGTTCCTTATTGCAAATAAAACAGCATATAAATCACATTTGAAATTCTTCAAACATACCTTTGACATGAGAAGAATATTCTTAGCATGCTTTCCAAGCAGCTTACGAACCTCCACCAAATCTGAGCCCTTTCGAACAAAAGAAAGAGCAATCATGTCAATTTGGTTGGGAACTCCCCATTCCAAGATATCTTCCTTGTCTTTGTCAGTCAAGGTAGGGAGGTCAACAATGACCCCTGGAAGATTTACATTCTTCCTCTCACCAAGAACTGCAGAGTTCTCACAGCGACAGTGAACCAAACCCTTTTGTTTGTCGCAAGATAAGACTGTAAATGAGATTGTCCCATCGGCGCAAAGTATGACCATCCCAGGTTTGACATCCTCAGCCAACTTTTTGTAACTCATACTTATCATTTTCTCATCACCCTTTATGCTATAGTCAGTGGTTATGGTGATTTCTTGACCTTGTTTCAGCTGAATTTTTCCATCCTTCAGAAAACCAGTTCGAATCTCGGGACCCTGGAAGTTTAACATATGAACAAACGGTTAGGATTGGTCAGCTTTACCATATACTATTAAGATTAAAAAAAACAAAGCCTTTCAAGCTTTAGATAAGAGTCTGGACATTAGTTATGTGAATACACAGCTGTTCAGATGCTCTGTACATGTTTTAAGCAAAGAAGCAAAGCGATATACTAGAGGTTGGAGAATTGGTTTTCTGAAGAATAGTAACTGTGACTTATAAATAAATAGCATCTATTACAACTTAAGATCTTTTACCCTACAGCCATTGCTGGATCTAACAAACATAATCACCATGATTATCATCTATCCTCATAATTGGCTACTTAGTGTAGTTAAAAATAAGCTTTGACTGTAGGAATCAAGTGTCTTTCTTAAATGCAGATATCATCCACTTCGCCCATGATTGGCTGATTAGCATGGTAATATTGATTGTTGCGAAGCAAATTCTAGAAGCACGTACTCCTCCTCAGTCCTCATAATATTAATAACAGATGCATTTCACAATAAATTTTATATGGTGTAGATGTAAGAGAGAATAAAAACGTTCAATGAATTTGAAGGTTACCCACATCTGATCTGATCATCTTGATCTTAGAAAGAAACCACGCACAAGCAATCGGATCTCAAACAAACTAATTAATAGCATCAATTAAAAACGAAAAAGAATAAAAAAAAAAAAGACTTTGTATTTACCTTGGTATCGAGCATGACAGCACAGAGAATACCGGTGTTAATCATGGCGGCCCTGAGATTGTCCAGGGTTTCCTGATGGTAGGCGTGAGATCCATGAGAGAAGTTGAAACGAGCAACGTTCATGCCAGCCCTCAACAGCTTCTCGATCATAGGCACTGATCTCGATGCGGGCCCTAGGGTGCACACGATCTTCGTCTTGGACTGCTTCTCCATTTCCGCTGTTCCTTGATGATGATTATTCATTTCCATCTAAGTAACAAGTGATTTGTTAAGAGGAGGACACAAAGGAGAGAAGCGTGTTCGGCCAAGGTAACTAACGAATTAATAAGGAAGTAGCAAAATAAAAAGGAGCAAAGGCTTTTGATCGGTTTTGCTTGAGTAACAAGCTGGGAATCCCTGCAAGTAGAATAATAATAAAATATGTTGGATCCTCTCGCCTGCCTTGGGTTTCGAGAAACCCGTGGACTTTTTGTTTTCCCTCCTGCCGAACCAGTGCTATTTCCTTTTCTGTACTATTACGCGTTAATTAATACTTTGATTTCTTTTTCAAAACTTTGACATGGAAATATGTCAATAACCATTTAATTCAAGTTATCCCCAAGTGAGGACCATTCTCAATTAAAGGGCAATTCACCAATTGTTGATACTTACGTGGCAATTTTCTCTCTCTCTCTTTTTTAAGTCTTTGTGGAATGGTGTTGCTTTGTATTTCTTAAAATTGAAAAATAAAAGATTCTCATGGAAGAAGTCACCACCCAAAAGCCTAGAGATTACATTCAAAAACTCTAACAACCCTCGAGACAATGGAAAATAATTTTCTCAAAAATCACATGTTCATTTTAAAGTAGTTTTAAAGTAGATTTGGTAATTGGTGTTCTCAACTAATTCAGGGATCCTTTTCTTCTTTTTCTTGAATGCAACTCTTGAAATGTTATCCACTCATTGAGGTTTAGACGATGATTTCTTAAAACACTATGCATTGACAAAGATGAAAGAAACCATGTGACGCTAAACCTATATGGAGAGTTGGACTCTTTATTTTTGATTAGTGTTACTTGGTATTTTTGGTTATGTTTTAGTTTCTTTTTAGTGAAAAGAAAGTTCTAATTACCCCTTTTTTAGCTAGCACTAGGTTTTGTAAGCATAAGCAATTTCAATACCATCCGAGTCAATTACCATTGGAGGTTGTACACTTGGATGATTTGGTGGTTTGTTACAACTCAACTTGGTGCAGTAAATTGAAATTTTGTTGAATTCTTGTGTTTTCAACTCCAAGGACATTAGGTATAATGATCTTTATCTTTTAGTTAAGGTAAATAATCAAAGTATGATTCACTTTAAACAATATCTAATGCACCAAGTTACTGTAAAAACAAAAACTAATACCTAACTAAGCTTTTAAGGTTAACAACCAAGTTTTCAAATATTGAAATTTAAACTCAAGTTTGAGAGGAGAACTTAGTAATATTATTGGCTGATCCTAAAAACAAGGTCCTATTTATAGCATTATAAGTCCAAATCCTAATGAAACTCTACTTTTGGTTGTCTAGTACAACTAGAATAGTTAACAAGAGATTTAAATAAAATAAATGTTCTATTCTTAATTAGAACATCACTATCTTAAAGTCTTAGAACAAGTAAATTAAATAAAAAAGAAATTCTATTACACTCATAATTCCTATGTACACTTCTAACTAACAATGAAAATATTAAAATTATGGATATGCCTATTTATGACTTTTGGGCTTTTTGTTGAGCTTTTGACCCTCAGCTTGCTCCAAAAAATTATCTGCTAAACATTCTACGTCAATCTCCTCCACTTGAGAAAAACTCGACCTCAAGTTAACTTGTATATTTAGATACAAAGATTTATCTGATAAATGAAATGAGTAAATATCTACCACGTTAAATATTTTGAAAATTCCCATTGTGTCTGGCAAATCCATAACATATGCAATGTCATTGATCTTCTTCAAAATTTGGTATATCCGTACTCTTTAGACTGTAACTTACTATAAGTCCCCACTAGAAACCTTTCTTTTCATAGAAACACCATTACCTGATCTCCCATTTCAAAAACCTACTTTTCGCGATGTTGATCTGTAGCTTTCTTATACTTGGAATTAGCTTGCTCTAATTTCTGTTTCACCTCTGCTTGAACATCTTGCAATTGATTAGCCATTTTTTCAACAGTTACACTAAATCTAGGAACTTTAGGTAACTTAACCAAGTCAAGGGCATGATGTGGAGACTTTGTGTACGCAATAGAAAATGGAGATTTTTTTGTGGCACTATGAATAGCACTATTAAAAGCAAACCATGCTTGTGCCAATGCAAAGTCCCATTGCTTCGATCTATCACCACAAATACTGCGAATCAGATTACCAAGGGTTTTGTTCATCGATTCAATTTGGCCATCGGTTTGTGGATGAGTTGTGCTATTGTAATTCAAGGATGAGTCAAATATCTTCTACTAAAGTCCTCTGAAAATGACCAAGAAACTTGTTGTCTCGATCTAAAGTGATAGTTTTAGGCACACCATGTAGACGAACAATCTCCTTAAAAAGCAATTTGGCTATTCCACTAGCATCTAAAGTCTTCTTGCAAGGGATAAAGTGCGCAATTTTAGAAAACCTATTAGCAGCAACAAAAACAAAATCCATGCCTTTTTGTGTTCGAAGCAGTCCAAGCACAAAATCCATAGATAAATCCTCTCAAATATTTAATGGAACAGGTAAAAGCATGTACAAACTAGTAATTTGGGAGTGTCCCTTTGCGATTTGGCATATGTAACATCGTTACACAAATCTTGTTACATCCTTTCTCAAATGTGGCCAATAATATCTTTCTCCAACAGCAGCAATCATTTTATCACGGCTTGAATGACCAGCAAGACCTCAACTATGCAAGTCTCTAATCAACTTTTCTCTTAGTGAAGATTTAAAAATGCAAAGCTAGTTGCCTTGCAATAAAAAACCATCATGAATGTAAAAATCCTCAACAGGTTGATTTGTGATTCACTTCTCCCATGGATCATGAAAATCCTCATCACTATGATATAATTCCTTAACTGTATCAAAACCCACAACTTCTTGTCTCATTGTCACTAGCAAATCTATGCGTCTACTCAATGCATCTGCTACTTTATTCTGTACTCTAGCCTTGTGCCTCAACTTAAAAGGAAACTTCTGTAGAAATTGAAACCACCTAGAATGTATGTCTTTACTAATTTGTTTCTAACTATTCAAGCACTTCAATGCCTCGTGATTTGAGTACAAAACAAATTCTCAGCCAACCAAGCAATGCTCCCAATTCTTCAAAGCATGCATAATGGAATAAATTCTTTATCATACATGGTCCATTTGTGCATTGCATTACTGAGCTTTTCACTGAAATAAGCTATAGGTTTCTTCTTTTGTGAAAGAATAGCTCTTGTTCCCACACCACTAGCATCACATTCAACTTCAAATAATGTATCAAAATCTGGTAATGCTAAAATAGGAATGGTACATAGCTTTTCCTTTAGTACAATAAAACTAGTTGCAACTTTTTCTCTTTATTGGAATTTCCCTTTCTTCAAGCATTCTGTAATAAGTATTGCAATATTACTAAAATTTTTGATAAAACGCCTATAAAATGTTGCTAACCCATGAAAACTTATGACTTCTATTATTGTTTTAGGGTAGGCCATTCTCTAATAGCTTGAATCTTCACTTCATCCACCTAAATTCCATTTGCATTAACTACATAGCTCAAGAATAATATATTTGTGATAAAGGTGTACTTTTTCAAGTTCACATACAACTTATTTTTTTGTAAAACCATTAATACTTCACGCAAGTGCAAAAGGTGCTTCTCTTTTGATCGACTATAAAGCAAGATATCATCAAAATAAACCACCATGAATTTTTCAAAAAAAGGTTTCAGTATCTAATTCATCAATGGCATAAAGGTAATAGGTGCATTGGTTAACTCGAATGGCATCACAAGCCACTCATGCAACTCTTTCTTTGTCTTAAAAACTGTTTTCCACTTATCCTCAAGTCTAATTCAAATATGGTGGTATCCACTACAAAGATCAATTTTTATGAACATCTTGGCCCCATGTAACCTTTCAAGCATGTCATTTAGCCTAGGAATTGGAAACTTGTATCCAATAGTAATTCTATTGATGGCTTGGCTATCCACACACATCCTCCAACTCTCATCTTTCTTTGAGGTTAACAAGGCAGGAACTGCCCATGGACTCATACTCTCTTAATATGTCCTTTGCGTAATAATTCCTTCACTATCTCCTTGAGAATCTCGCTGTTCTTTGGGCTCATCTTATAATGAGGCAAGTTTGGCAAACTAGCACCAAGAATTAGGTCAATATGGTGTTGAATATCTCTTATGGGTGGTAAATTATCAAGTAAATCTTCTAGCATCACCTCACTGAATTTTGCTAGTAATGGGTTAACTGCTTTTGGATGCTCTACTATTTTTTGATCATCTTCAATTAACAACACCCATTTCACAATTAGAGCGTGCAACTCATTTAACTCTTAGAAAGCAATATTTATCTCATTTCTAGAATAAGAAAAGGTAAAAAAAGTCCATCCCCCCACTTTAGAAGTTTTCGTTTTGGCATTCCCTTTCATTGGTAATAAAGTAAACTTTATGTCATCTTTTTCAAATTTATAAGTATTTTCTCTTTCATCATGCTGTGATGCAACATCAAATTGCCAATGTCTACCAAATAATAGGTGACAAGCATCTATATCCATAATATCAAAATATACCTCATCTCTATATTTACCAATGGAAAAGGGTACCTTATATCATTTTGTTACATGAATCTTCTCTACTGCTTTAATCTAATCAATAGTATATGGATTAGGGTGTTTTTCTACTTTAAATGCCAAAATTTCTACAACATCCTTACTAATAATATTCTTGCAACTACTACTATCAATAATCACGTCAAATAAATGGTTAGTGATGATGCATTTGGCTCAAAATAATTGATATCGCTGAGTATTATCTTTTTGTTTTTAAGGCAACATCATTCTTTCACCACATAGTTCTAACCATCGCCATCATCCTCATACTTGTCATTATCCCTATCTGGACTACAACAAATCTCATCATCCTCTTTTTCTCATTCCACCACATGGACTGCTCTTCTAAGAGAACAACCACTAAATCTATGACTAGGTTGATTGCATTTGAAACACTTCCTTGAATTTGGTTTAGCATAGGGATTTGCAACTTTGTGCCCCTTTTTAGCATTTGTCACTTTTTGCTTTCCAATTGCCTTCTCTTTCTTATACTAGTCATTGCATGTAGAACTCTTATAAACTAATTTATTTTTGTTGTTGGATGCTCTATAATTATCCCCACCGCAACGTTTGCGAGAATAATCAAGTTTGTTCTTTTCTCG